ATTTATGATCCTAAAATTTAGTATTTTCAACCACCGAATTTGCTTAAATAATCCTATTTTCAAAGATCTGATGATTTCCTCTTAAACAGCTCAAAAGATACCATTTAAAAGTGTTATTTTTCTCTAAGGTGTATATACACACATTTTATTTATGCTTTTAATTGCAAGAACGTGCAATCTCTCCCATGGAAATTTCAAAACATTTGGCAAGTATGGAACAGGAGTATTACTTACATAATTATCAAGTTATATATTTCAACACGAAGAACCAAGACATAAACTTACTTATATCTTCTAGCTATATAATAAAATACTGGGTTGCCAGCTTTACTTGTCCCGGCCTGGTAAAATATGTGTAGATTTTTAAGCGACTTGAATTCATCTTTTTCGTGCATGTTGTGTTTTGACATGATTTCTTCGAATTTCGTACTTGTCATGTCCATACTGCTCCATCTGGTGGCAAATATTCCAACACTGCGAAAAGAGAAAGGACAACAATGGGAGATAACTCTATCAGATCAATTGCCGGAATCACACGTCAACATTGAATAGGAAAATTGGTCAGCGTGGTGTGTGTTTTAAGTACTCTAGATATTCTGAACCTTGTAGATACATGATTAATTAATTTTATCAAAGCATAGATAGTGATTTTCAATACATTCTCAAAAAGATTGAATTTATGAATGTAATAGCTACTCATAATTGATACAAAACGTAAATTACCAAGAAAATGTTTACAACCGTTAAATTTTATTCAGATTTAAAGTTTGTAACTGTAACAATCACTTTGAGACGTATTTCATCAACAAGGCTACAATACATCATACAAGTCTGATAAAATAGACGAAAACCATAATAAACATAATCATTTACTGAGAAGGGCGAAATAAACAGGCGGCGTAAATTGATTTATGGGCGAAAGGCGAAAGTTTGACTGGGCGAAAATATGTCGCTAACCCGCAAAATTCCATAGAACATGACAACAACACTTACTGAGAGTCGAGTGGTCTATGCTCTGGGGGTCCCAGATACGCTAACAAGGTGGCCATCTTGTCAAATGGCCGTCTGCCCACTGCCTTGTGGTCTCTGTAACAAACAAACATTTCATTCTAACTTGTGAAAACTTTCAATAAATATGATAAAATGAACTGATTTCACTTTCCTTCTTCCAGTACTGGTCAAACAAATAATGCCCATTTTGTGAAATGATAAATATTGAAATTCGAAATGAACTTCTACAAATCAGTTTATACATTTTTCAGGTTTTTTTTCCTGAACTTCCAGATCTTCATTTGAAAAGCAATGTTTAACTAAGGAAAAGTTTGAATTTCAGAAGAAACTTCGCAAAGCAAGGGACTGGACTCGTTTTTTTTTCAATTTTAAAATATTACAATAAAAATTTAATTTCCTTTTTCATAAAAATCTGGGTGCGTGTGAGACTGACCTGCTGCTAGAGAGGTAGTCTCCGATCTTTTCCTGGTTGTTCCAGAGCAGACGGTGGAGGGCCAGAACATTGGCATCATTAATGAAAGAGAGGCTGTGGTTCCCTTGGTCGGGAATGTCACAGTCCGACGCTATCTCGGTGAAAAACCTTGGTAAATTAAGTGTGTACATTTTAATCTATGTTTAGAATTTTATCTTCGTAATAATTTATTTATCTTCGTAATAATTTATGCAGAAACGATATACAGATTGTAATGGGAAGATGAAACCATGAAGATTAATTCAAAGAATAATTCATTTACCCCTTCACCCCTATGTCACTTTAGTAGACTCTACCATACATTGATCTGGATGAGTCCATT